GTACGTGACCGGCAGCGGAAGGTCTGGAAACGCGCAGGGCCGTATACATATACAGGGCTGTATACGTAACAGAGACAATCAAAGATTGACAGATCCATTCTTGAACGCAATTAAGAATTCTTATTAATTAAAAATGTGTGCTAAAAGGGGAAATAGAACGGAAAATTAACTTAGAACTGACTGTAGATAACACTTGACTAAATGACATAGTCGACAACATGTTTCTAATGCGGGAATCGTGTTTGTATTCTCACGATTGATGTATCTTGGAATACGTATTGATAGGACCACCAGTAGGACTACCTATAGGTCAGGTCGATCTGAACTCTGGAATTTCCGTTCATTCAGATCAATTCATGTTCGAGTAATAGAATCTCAGCTCCGAGTAATTGAATTCGCTATCCTTATACATAATAAATGTTAAATACAATTTCAAGAAATAAAATAGAATATAATAAAATTCTGATGGCAAAATAGATTTACTCTCGGGACTTCGATTTCCTCCATTAACGGTACCAACCAATAATTGAATTGCATTTATTCATCGAAAAAGCAACCAAACGAGAATAAAGTTTCGATTGCATTCGTTCAATTGTTTCCGGAATTCATTCCACTGCTAATTCAGTTTCGTGTCAACGCTTCAAGACCTTCGTAAAAGGGAGACAAGTATACATATAAAATGAAAAAAATCGTTCTGGGTCTCCTCGTTAAACGAAAGCAGCAGCTGAAAATAAAACTCGGTCGAGGAAAAACATCGCCAGCGTACACGCCTTAAAATCGTAATACAAAACGAGTTTAAAAAAAAGAATTACCACCAGTAGCTCTAAAAAATGAAAGAAAAGAGGGACAAGAAACGGGCAATGGTACAGCAAGATTTACTATCTAAAAATATGCTTTCTCTACATTTCCTGAAAAATATGACGAAAATGTATACAGACTCTAGCTCATTTCATTTGTTTACTGTTTATCTTTACCACTTACCTGAATATTTCTGTTCTAAATGTTCACCGTTTCCTGGCGGTAAAATCATGAAGATTGTATTGCTCGTCAACCTTGTTAAGGAAAGATCATTGAAAGAAAAGCAAAAATTTTTGAATTTCGACCTCCGATTTTCATTTTCTGTGATTTTTCCCAATCAAAGATAAACCATCGTTTAAGAATTTGAAACATACAAAATCAAATGTAAAACATCGTGACGCATTTAAATTCTGATCCTTGTTCAAAAGAAATGTGACTTTAAAAACTAGGTTGAATTCGCTGATAACTAAAAAGTTGAAAATGTCTCGCGGATCCTTTCATTCGCTATCTCAACGCGACTCCTTTCACAGAAACTTCCCTTTTGCTCGGTGGACATATTCTATCAGCTGAAGTCGATAGCGGCCGAGCTTCTTTTCAATTACAACCGGGATTATCATTCGATTTCTCGAGTCTAAGATGAAACGCGAAATGTACGAAGGCCATGCGGAAAGAAGCAGTGATTAGCATGGAAGAAAAAATTGCAGCCGGGAGAATGGGATGCGGAAAAAGTTTCAAAAGTGTGCCGCGCTTTGGATGAACTCGAACGCAAAAACTTTCCTTTTTTCTCGCTTTGGAAAAAAATGAACAGGTTTTACCGGGTTTCGAAGAGGTTGGGCACCACCGCACCACGAAAAAAGAAATAAGAAAGGCGTCGAGTATTAAGCGAACTAAAAAGGAAAAAAACGAGAAAGGGAGCATCCCGCATTAGGCGAGTTCTTCTTATTCTTAGTTGTACTTGCGGTTCGAAATAGTGGGGCGCGCAACTTGAATGGAAAGTAGAAGCCAACAGAAAACTGAATAACGAGTGGAAATTTAACGTTAAATCCGCGGCTTGAAGTAAATAGAGAGGGACTTGTCCGCGGAAGCAACTTCAGAACCAGATCGAGGCTAAAGCAGTATTTATAAACCTACGTGTACCTCAGAACAAAGGCTAAAAGTGGAAGAAAGAGAAAAAAATTATGGGAAATAAATAGCAAAGCATTCATTCCAGGAACACTCTTGCGATTAGAGTAAAACAGTATTTGTGATACTCTACATAGCATTAAAGTAAGAAAAGTGAAAAAGGGCATAATTTCTTGTAAGCACGAAACCTACAATGAAAGGAACATGTTAAGGATATATAGGCTATATACTTAAACAATACTAGCATGTTGAATTTGTTATTATAGAT